GTGCGGTCCTGAGGAAAGTAGGCGACAGAGCTGTTTCCTCGGATTGAAAGCTTGGAAGGAAAGCTCTACAACACTTTTGACAATCCTTTTTTCGAAGCTGAATTTAAAGTCGCTTGAAAGTTTTGGACCCTGGTTGCTATAGAGTGGTAAAATTACATCGGAAGCGGATGCAAAAGAGCTTTATGTGATATTTTGAGGCATTAAACTCTAAACCGGACTGAAGCACCTTTCGATCCATTCATTCCTTCTCATACTATCATTTTCTTATATTTCGAGTTCCTCTAGATCCAATTTGCTAGAGCCATTACGGTCAACATCTCCACTGCATACGGGAAGGATATCTTCCCCGTTCCGATATTTCCCGTGGGTGTAAGTGATTGCAGCAGGAGATATTTCATTCTAAACAAATAACGTCTGGCTGGCCGTGAGGATGGAATGGAGGGCGTTTACTCAGCCTCTGGAAGCGCGGTCGAATGTAACTAGCCGTGAGTTGGCGGAAGGGGGCGCACCCATACGACAGTCATTGAGCGCACCACCACTTTGGTTATCGTTCAGTAATACCACAAAAAGTACCACATTCAACTGGGCCATTTCAGACAAGAAGAAGTGAATGCTATGGCTGAGTCTCCTCTGCTTCTTCCACATCGGGAGGAATTTCTGGTTGACCGGTGATAAAAGCTGGCTGCTTCGCGTGAATATTGTAGGAGGCGCAGCTGAATTGCTTGAACAAAATCCGATTAAAAAGTCGAAAGGAGAACCTGACGGCACAACCCAGGATCATATTGGTGTGGCTCTTGCACACGAATGTGAATGTATTGGTGGAAGTGGGCCGGCAGTGAAGAAAAAAGGAAAAGAATCCGTCGAAAACGCTCAGGTTGAGGGCTCACTCACCTTCCTAATCGGCTGTGCTAAGGGAATGAGAGACTAAGCGCGGAGAGGAGAGTATGAGGCGAGAGAGCGCTACAGATGAGAGGGCGCCAGACAACAGCCTGATAAGAGAAAAAAACTGCAGCTGCAGCAGCTTACTTTGCAAGGCCCTAGCGCTCTTGTCGGTTGATTTCCGTGCACGGGAACGCCACATCTGTGATTGTCCTCTAGGGGTCTATCCTACAGACCGAAGGAATCGTTCACACGACTTCTGCCTGGGTTGTGCCTTTGAACGGAAGAAGCTATGCTGAGGGCGGGAATGCAGACGGATTCCTCGTCGGGAGCGGCTCGCCTTGGTCTGCTCCAATCAACCTTAAGAAGGTGTCCCAATGCATGCGTGAGATATGCTCGGAGAAGCTCATTGTCTTTCTACTTCGAAATAAGGTTCGCTTTGGACACGTTGAAAGGTTACCTGACTCGACTGAGAAGTATTGCTGCCTTCACCTCATCCACTGAGCCTAACTACTTCGGAGTATCACCTTGTTACGGCATTGTGATCAATTCCTCCAATGGTCGAAAAACAATGACCATCAGGAGCTCGAAAACGAGGCCGGCTTCTCATCGCATGAGTTCTGTGACTATGGAACTATCTGATTTATGGGAACATGCCTTTGATAGCAACAGTTCACCTAAGTTGACTGATGCTTTTCCTGTACGAATATCCATTCAGAAAATGTCCAACATGAAAACCCAGTTTGTTTGATGTATTGTATTACAGAACTTCTTTCCAGCATAATAATGTAATTGCTTTTGAGACTATCTAGACTAGTTCACTATATTTTGCATTGCTCTGCTCTCTGTGGGTAGTATCAGCGTAGATTTTTCCGCAAATTCCCTGAAATCAAGGGCAGTTGC